TAATTAATTTTAATTTATTTTCTGTTAATATTATTATTATTATTTTTTGGATAACAAATATATCTTTAAATAACACAGACACATATTTTCAAATTATTATGCAATCAACAACAGTAACTTCTAAAATTTAAAATAATAAATCTTATAAATATGCAGTAATAAATTACATAGATATAGAAAAGGCAACCGACCGCAAAATTATCTTTCCGCAGATAAAAATCGACACTGCAATTCTATTTACATTTCTGGTCTTCCGTTTTACAAGTGAGATTCTGGAATGTGGTTATATTAAGTTCCAAAATTTCACATCTAAATCTCAAACGTATCTTATGACTAGAAAATGTAGACTTTGCTGCAAAAGTATGCCTGGCAAAGGATGATTGTATTATAAGAAATAATATGTAGTTCAGGATTTCTGCATCTCCTCGGTTGATGGATTGCTTCCGGGCAAATTCGGGGGATTATCTGATCTAGATGGGTTAAAGCTCTCAGTTTCATTATTGACAGGTTTCTGTTCAACACGGCCATCCAAATTGGGAGATTTCTTGAATGGTCTCTGAAAATCTCTTGCATTTCTACTGTCAATTACTAGATTGTTGAGTTTTTCTTCCTGCAAACAACAATAACAAATAATTTTATCATTATTGATGGGACAAAGTTTTGAGTAAATATAATTCCAATAAAATTCCGCTCATAAATAAGAAAGCCGATACACGAAAACAAATTGCTTTAACATATATTTCAGACATGAATACCTAATAAGCAAGAGACCTATGCAGAATAAAATTTAGATAGCATGAATTCTGCTATATGGTGTTGATCTGGTAAATCGATTTCATATTTTCATATGAACAAACATCTAAAATCAGAAGAAAAAAAAAAAGGAAGAAAGGTTTAGTTCCTTCCTGATAAAACAGGTCCTTAGAATCAAAAGTCAAGGACACATCAGAGGTTTGCCAGCATGGTTTCTACTTCCGTAATTGCAAGTATCTTAGGAGCCTGAAACTACAGGATTTAATCTTTTGATAAGAATAATGCAAGGAGAGAGACTCAAATTTAGGTTTATACCCAAACTGACTAGCCTACTAGTGCTTTTCATTATTAGTTCCTTATGGGTGGATGAGGCTTCCAACCTTCTACAGGATTTATTGTAAGTTGTTCAGTAAGGATGCAATTTCACTGAAGAATATATGGCTGTTTGGGGCATTTTATAGTGAAAAATTACTCTGTTACCATGCATGCCATTCAAGCTGCTTACATTTTGTAGTGCTTCAAGCTTCCTCTGCAGTGCCTCATGCTCAGCCTGAATACGAAATGGAACACCATGCTTCTGATACACATTGTTTTGTGCCAGGTCTTCATCAATGTCAGCTGCAGTGGTTGCAAAAGGATGATTGGCTGGAATCCATCTGATCGTATCGGGGTCTACATCAGGAGGTATGGAATCCCCTTCCTTAAGGAACACAGTTGGTCTCTTCCACTGGTATGCTCTAGATCTCCTTTTCTGATGGATAGCTTGCTGCTCTTGAGTAAGAGTAACTGGAGCTAAGCGATAAACTTTCCCACACATCTCTACGGTTGAATTGCTCTTACCTACCTTCACCAACGGATTATTAAATGGGTCCTCATATTTGAGAGGTTTTGAGCTGTGAAGAAAAGCACCATTTGAAGGGATAAATCAGAATTTATATGACAGGTCATAGGACCAAATTATGAGAAAATTGTTGGCATGCAGAAAACCTAAAACATGATTGTAATATCAGCACATGTGAACAAAGTTATCAAAATGATAAAAACTAAAATTAGGCAAAATAATATAACTTCTACCAACGCGGATATGATGATTACATAATGAGATGGAAAATATTAACAAATCAGACTTGGCATGCAGAACACCTGAAATGTGATTCTAATAAAAGCACATGTGAAGAAAATTATAAAATGATAAAAGTTAAAATCGAGTAGAGTAATATAATTTCTATCAATGCAGACATAATGATTATATAAAGAGGATGGAAAATTTTAACAAATCAGACTAGATGTAAGAAACATATAAACTACAAATTACGGAAAACAATGGGCATGTAAAAGGTGTTCAGGACTGGAATCATACATGCCTCTTCTATCAGATCTCAACTGGCCACGTCTGACCAGATCAGCTACGGAGCCAGGTCGGCTTTTCCTCGACTTTGTCACCATGTAGGCTCTAACAGCAACAAGCAAAAGAGCAATAGCAATGCATAATCCAGTTGCAATGTTGTTTCCTACATGTCGTTTAATCTAAAGGCAGAAAGCAAAAACCCATGAGTCTATTCATTATGTTGCAAGTTTAAAGAGCAGAAACAAGAAGCAACTTAACATTCTAACTTTCCCACTATAGAAATGAGAAACCCCATCCTCAAATCTCATACATCAAACACAGGAATCTTCTAACAACTTCCGGCTAAAGTTCTGTTTATTCACAGGTTTTCTCTCCATAATAAAGTTATATGAACGGAACATAAACCAAGCCAGCGAGTGTTATAATCCGAAACAAGAGAAGAAAATGTTACCATGCAAACCCGAGGAGGCAAAGAATTAATCATCCCCTGAAATTTGGCAATTAGGTTTTTGGAATCTGCCGCGGGATCCCCCTCAAAAGCGACCTCATCTTGGGCACTTTGGTTTCTATCCGAGTTCAAAGAAGCTCTAATTGACCTTGATACCAGCTTTTGATAGATTCCTACCCGATTCCAATTCAGTTTGTCATGTCTGCACCAGAATTCGGTCCTAAATACAACCGCATTTGAAGAGATCTGGTGCTTTGCGCCCAAACTTGACGGCTACAATCATAAATTTAAGATTCAGATATTAGGGGAAAAAATTGTTACCGAAACAGGGAGTTTAAAGAATGGAACAAAAATTGAGAGTATTTACCTGGACACTCGACGGAGAATGAAATTGGAGAGTCCAGATGGAAGCCATTTCATTCTGAAAGGAAAAAAAAAAAAAAGAGGAAATTTGATTCAGGATTGTAAAATGGGAAGATCCATTAAGCGCTGGGAATTAGGGGTTAGGGTATTGAATGTTCGGAGAACATTCAATACACTCGAGAGAACACACTCCCTACAGTTCAGACTTCGGTGTGATTCAGAAGGCTCCGTGTTCGATTCATATAGTGCTCAGTTTCTGTCTTCTATTTTTTCTATTTTATTATTATTATTATTATTGTAACTAAAATTTTAAATTATTTATTTTGATATAAGAATACACTTTTAAATTTTTCCACCAATATATATATATATATACATATATATCTTCCCACAAATATATATATATATATATATATGGAAAAATAACAAGTGCTAAATTATATATTTATCTAGATTTACTACTATTTTATTATAATCTAATTATTTTCCAATTCTTTTCCAACAAAAAAAATGTAAAAGTATATAATTATTTTCAAAAAATAGTAGATCCAATTATAATAATTTTTGAAATATCAAGAACCCCTCTTTATTTATCCACATACTATATAATTTATTCATAAAATTTTATATTTGAATATTAGTTCATTAATCTTAATTTGAAATATTCTAAATTTAATGTTTATTGCTTACACAATTGAATATAAATAAGAAATCCATCTCGAAATTAATAATTCAAATTGAAGTGAAAAAAAGTTGATTATAACTTTTTAAAAAAAAAAATTTGTGATTAAATTCTAACTCGATATATAACATTAGTCCACGGTTAACCCGTTGATTCTACTACTAATACATACTACTAATAAATTGGGCTAAATTTTGTTAGAGAACCAAATAGTTTGTATAAGAATAAAATTACAACGATTGAGTTTGAATAAAAATAAATGGTAAATATTAATTTATGTAATATAACAATAAGTAACAAAATCTACCGTCAAAGTGACTTAGTATACGATAATAATACTATTTTATGATAATTAATGCAAAATAATAAAATATTAAATTAAAAGAATCAATTTAGTTAGTTTAATCTAATTGCTACGTAGTACTAATAACTTGAATTTGAACTTTTGAGGACCACTCGTTTGTATACGAATCAAACTAATAATCGTTGATTTTAAATAGAATTACATCAGTTGATTTTGAATAAAAATAAATAATAAATATTATTTAATTCAACATTAACATATTTTAGAATAAGAGTAAATGAATACATAAAAATTGTAATATTTTACGAGAAGTAGTAAAAAATAACAAAATACAAATTAGACAAAACTATTTTATTTAAGTCAATTTAATTGCTATATATTATCAATAACTTGATATTTAGCTTTCAGGACAAATAATTTTTAGCCCAAAAATTATTCGATTAGTAGTGCTTTGGATCTATAATGTTACAAATGATTTTGTAAGAACGTCAAATATTTAAATGAAGAAATTACGATACATCAATCACATATGATAAAGATATATAATCATCAAACATCGCATAAAAACTTAAGTTACACGTTACTAATAATTTGAATTTGAGCACGAGACGGCTAGCGATTTAAGTTCAATAGATTGATTGTTGGGTTAGTGATGCTCATACAAATAAGTATTTAAATGGTACTATAGCAAGTGCCAACTCAGTGACTCTAAGCTGGTATAGTTTCAGACATTGTGACTTTGAATCGTGATTTGTGATTGTGATATTAATATTAACGAGAACGTTAAAAATTTAAACAGTAAAATTTTACGTACCACCAATAACTTAAATTTGAGATCTGATGATAATGTTTCAGATTCGGAAGTTACTGAATCAGTAGTTATTGGATCCCGAACATTGTGATATAACAATACCCATTTAATTAAATATTGATCAAAATTATACGTTACTTTTTTGTTTGTTCGCAAGAGGACTAAATTATAGATTAGATTTAAAAGAAGGCACAAAGAGAAAAAAAAAAGAAAAGATGCTACATTGGCCACTCAAGTGTAAGTTTTACTTTGGCCCTTTTTGGTGGAAAAGAAAAGACTAAATATGCTTAATGGGGGAGAATGGTGAATATAAATTAGAGAAAGGAATGATTGAAGGGTGACGTGGTGGACCAGCCACCTTATTTTATTCAACGGCTCCGGAGAAAATGGAATTTTGCGGCTTATCAATTCCTTTTTCATTAATTTACTTTATAATTTTGATTTATTCAAGTTTAATAAATACTTTAACAATAGGTTTAAAATATGGTATGTATTGTAATTTATCATGATGATTCCAATTTATATGTATGTATATTGTGATCTATATTTTCTCAATGTTTTGATTAAGATGATAGCTAATTTGGGCTAACAATTATTTAATTAACATATATATATATATAGATATTATAAAAGAAACGTAATTGATTGTCGAAATGAAATTAGTTTTCGTTATAATTTTAATTTTGTCGTAAAAACTATAGGTATATTTTTGTAAACAAAAAAATTTACTAAAAATATATTTGAATAAAACTATGAATTATAATTCGAGAGGTAAATTACTTACGTAAATTTATAAAAATTAGCAAAAACTATCGAGATTTTCTGTTTTTCACTATAAACTCATCACCACGTCTCTTTTAACATCTTCTCTTTTGCGTCGCGACCCACTTCTTTCCTCTCAATCCCTTCACCTTTCTATCTACCACTTCCACAATCTCTCTCTCTCTCTAGATGCCTTCCTACCAATCTTACCCTTTACTCTCCTAAACCAATCTTAATGCATATTTATTGGCATAGCTCCCTCCTCCATTTTCTCACAAAGCTTCTTTCATCCAAAACACTTTTTTATCGAATAAAAAAATTACTTATTGAATTCAACTAAGAAAGACATCTTGAGGAGGAAAAGATCAAAAGGGGAGCGAGGGAACACTGACAGGGCTTGTGGGCAAGGCTCGAGGATGATTCAGAGGATGGTGTAGCCTGAGAGAGAAAGAAGTCCGGTGGGTGAATTAACAAGAAACTTTTAAAGAGATAATAAAAAGATAAAAGAGTAAAAAAATCTAAGTTTTTTTTCTTTATTTGTGAATAAGTTTAAATCGGCTCTCATCCAATTTTTTCAAAACTAATATTCGAATCAATCAGAAACTGTTACATTATTATTAACTTTAACACGTGACATCTACGTATAATATTTAAGTTAACAGTGTTAATTTTTATTAACAAGAAAGAATAAATATTTTTTTTTTGTAAAATGCACGGATTAATTAAACTAACTAAAAATTGATATAGAAATTAATTTAAATAAAAATAAATAATATAAACACCAAATTATTTTGTTAACATATAACTATTTATATATGCATGTATACATATATGTTAAAAGAAATAAAATAAAAAAATGTGTCGGAATAATTTTGAAGTATATGAATTAGTTAGGTCAAGAATCATGGAGGAGGGTGGTAGCTAGTATGTGTATGTATACGTGTATGTATATGTGTGTATCTATATATATATATACATACACGTAGTTGTTGACATTAAGGAAATAATTAATGATAATTTAGAGATTAGTTTAATAATAATTTTACCTCTTTGTAGCTGGTTAGTGGCTTAGTAAACTACCTTGTTTCTAATAACGACAAGCCTACCCTATTACCATATATGGCACTTTCAACTCCTCGCGCACCTTTGAATTCACATGTACTCTTTAATTTAATTTAATTAATCAATTCATAAGCATAATACTTTGAATATTATTCAACACAACGATTAAAGTATATATATATATATATACACACACACACATATATATCCTTCAACAAATTGGCCATTCAATGTAATGGAATCCATGAAACACCTAAACCCATTTTGGTTGGTTTAAAGTTTCTTCGTATATATATATATATATACGTATTTATAAAAAAAAGTAGAGATACAAAAAATAAACTAAGCATTACACATTGTAGACCGAGACTCCCCCAATTAGATCAGTAAAAGACCGACAATGAAAACAGAAATCAGGAGGGTCTGAAAAAGCATGATTAGCCAAGAAATTCAGAAGGGTTCGAAGAAGCACGAGCAGCAAAAGACTGGCGATGAATGCGACCATATACATATATATTTATATATATATATATATGTAGTAATAAAGTAAATATATGGAATTTATTTTAACCTAATTTTATTGTTTAAAAAAAAAAGGAAGAAGATATGAATTTACAATGATTATGAGGAACCACCATACCAATATTGTTTGACAAGTTCACCTAGTGGATTCCTTTTCTCGCTTTTTGATGGACGTCTGGCATTTCATATGGGTCCTCGTTCTCTTTTAATTTTCTTTTCTTCATTCCACCATCAGCCTCTCCGCGCACAACCATGTACATATATGTGTGTGTGTGTGTATAGACCACATTAGCAACGGAATCGGAAGCTCCATTACAAGTGTGAATATATGTGGAGAATGAGAGTTGAATTAATTGAGAAGATTCAAGATGGGAAATGGGCTTATAGCCAGACAACAAGTGAGATCTTATATGAACAAATTTACCTGGTCAGAAAATAATAATTTAATTTCTGAACTGTTAGCAAATGGGTGTGGAGCTCTGAAGCTTCTCTGTTCTTTATCTAATGAAAGCAGAAGGGAACGATAATGGGGTAAAATCACAACGAAGAAGTATAATTCCCATTCTTTTACGAACACATTTTGATTAATCTCGTCTTTTTCATATGGGGAAACAGGGAACCTTCTTACAAAAGCCTTGTCTAATCCGATCCTACTATGACTATAGATATATTACATACATACTCCTATAACGTACATACACAGTACATACACGAGATCTAATACCGATATGCTACCAGAGTGGTAAATGCTGAGTGGTTATTTCAGAAAACCTAATCTGATATGTAAAATTTGACCGGTAAGAAAGAACAAACCAAGATTGAATTTGAACAGCGGCAAATCAAATTAGAGGAGGAGGCTAGGGCAGGAACCTATTCACATCGTCTTCTCTTTCCTTGAATCTGGACTCACTCTGATCAGTAGCTCCCGAGCTGGAGCTTCCGGGGAGCCCTCCGCACTTCTGACACCGAGCCACCACCAAAATCTGACGGCACGAGGGGCAAGACGAGTGGGATCCGAGCCACGTGTCGATGCACACAACGTGGAAACAATGACCGCACTGCGGAAGCACCCGGAGTTCGTCACCCGCCGCGAATTCAGTAAGGCAAATCGCGCAGTCGGAGAATTTCGCGGCGGAATCCGGAGAGTAGGTGAGCTTGGGGAGCGACCGGAGGATCTTCTTCTTAAGCCCTTTATTAGCGACAGCGGGTGGAGGAGTAGGATGAGAAGGAGCGGCGGTGGAGGCTCCACCGCCGGAGAGTCGTCGGAGCCACGCGCAACGAGCTACAGCGATGAGACCAAGCACGCAAATCAACGCGCAAAGCAAAGCCGCCAGGATTACAACGAAGTCAGAGTCCATGGTTGCCGGTTCCGGCGGCGAACCGGCAAGTGCGGAGGAGTTGGAGGTGGTTAGGGACCTGAAGAGGGGACGAGTCATGTGAGCAAGCAGTCGAGAGAGAGAGAGAGAGAGTTTTGGGGGTTTTGTTGGGAAGCGTCAAGGGTGTGTGTTTACGGGGTGGGCTTATTTATAATAAAAGAATATGATAGGGCCAAATATATAAATACCCATTTTTATAGGGTCGGATTTGGAATTTTCATGAATCACCCCGACTTCCTCTTCGCCATTCATTCAATCATTAATTAACCTACTTAATACTCTAACTTATCCCTGTAATTAATCCTCCATTAACATTTAATTAATGACTCGGTTCATAATCAGTTTCAGTTCATCATATCCTCTTACTTTCCAAGTCAGAATATTAACAAGCAGCAAAAAGAAGGGTGTGCCTGCTAGGCAGCAGTGAAGCAGAAGCATAAAGCGTCACGCAGGAAATAATGAAGAAAGCCTCCTTGTGTGTGTCAATTTTATCTTTTTTCAGATTTGCATGTGTCGATTTCTGATATGGCAGGGAAAAAGGGGCACCGCGAACTGGCTTTTTGTCTCTGACAATTACAGACATGTACACATACGTTATACATAATACAAGGGTAAGTTCGAGTTTTGTAGGAAGAACACAAGTTAAAACCGTGAGGGTAAAGTCCAAATGCAGCATCGGACTGGGGAATGACGGTGATAATACACCACCTTGTTCAAAGTTTTATTATTGCGTTTGGTTTAGTAATCATTTTGGGTGGATGCCTGGAAATTCATTTATCTAAAACAACATTTATTTATGCCTACCGATGGAGAAGAATCCATGTTACAGAAATTAATGAAAATGGCGACCGGTCGTTGTGGGGGGATATGGGAGTGGCTTAGTTTGAGTTCGTCGAGGAAAATCATATTCTCTCGTACCTTTTTACTGGAATAATGAAGTAGCAGTTATACACACACACACACATATATATTTATATATGTTTATTTATGTGAAAGTGAAGTACCAAAAATGCCCTTGAAAATATGATTGTCGCTTCAGAAATGTGTATGCAACAGCAAGTATATATATATAATAAGACTGCGAATGCTTTTTGGTCACAGTGTAACAAATAACAAAATGGTGGGTTCATTGAATTTGAATCCCCTTTCTTGTTAATAATTCATGCAAAAGGAATCGGTAGTACTTCATTAAAAAAAGCAATAAATTCATACCGCGGGCGCCGATTTTTTATCTTTATATAAAAATTTAATTAAATTACGTAAATACACACACACACGATGATTCGATTCTACACGGTAAGAAATAATTTACTCGGATCACGAAATTGTTACAATTACCTGTCGTGACGAATTCAATTCTTACAGGTAAAAGTGTTCAATACCCAAGTCAGCTTATAATTTTGTATTTTTTTGAATCGTCTCGTATCTTAATGATTCATTCTTAATTTTTAACACGTACAAAAAGTTTACTTTTTAGTAGATTTAAATTTATAATTTTTTTTATATGTGTATATATATATAAAAAGCCTTATAAATAATCTAATCAAAACACTTATTGGTGTTATAAAGGGTTTAAATATATAAAAAGAAAAAAAATATCATTCATCTCCTGCAAAAATATCTCAGAGATTTTTCCTCCCCCTAATAGTGGATATTGAAGGCAAAAGATAATGAAAAGGTGGGAGTGGGGGGTGTGGGGGGACAAGAACATATGTTTGAAGGGTGGGTTTAGATTGTCTTTCTCTTCTTTTCTTGATTGATTCCTTGCTTTAATCAAATTGTAGTTTTAATACAAATTTTTTTTTTTTTTGAACTGGTGAAATGGTAATCAAAACTCGGTGGTGAGTTTGGTGCGGGAGTTTAGGAGTGGGCGAGTCGTCCTCCATGAAAGGTATTAATTTCTAATTTTCCAAAAAAACAAAGTACTAATTTCTCAACATCGGGACAGAGGACGTACCCCATGTTTAATCACATAAATGTTTGAGTTTAGAGACAACGACTAATACCATAAATCTTGTCGGCCATCACCCGGTTGACACGTGGCAAGCAAAGACACCGAGGGTAGTGCTTATCTGGGGGGTAAGACTAATAATAAGAGGAAAACAATCTCAATGGAACAACACAGCAAACACACCTCTCTTCTCTCTTCTCTCCCCCCCCCAACCCATGTGGGTGCTGCTTGCACGGGCCACCCGATACCTTTCCCATCAACTGCTAAACCCAAAAACACCACTAACCTCGTCGTCTGTTTTCGACACGTCTCTCACAATTTGACCAATCCACACTTTTGCTATACCATCTCCCAAATTCAACTTCTCTTTCCATGGAAATTTCCTCCCAACTTTCATGTTTTCTCGACTTGAAACAGGTTAGTATAAGTCAATAATCATGCACGTATATGTACCAACACACCCGAGCCCGCGTCCGAACCAAAAACACTTGTCTCAATGTGGCACTCATCTCCATTTTTTATTGCTAAATTTCATTACCCTTTAAATACAGTATAAAAAGAGGGGCCGACTCCAAGTCAATCATTCGTCCAAAACATGTTTCCAAACAATATATATATATATATGATCTAAGATTTGCATGGGAATGGAAAAAAGTTCCTGCTACAAGAGAATGGTTAGATCAACCCTTCATAGATGCATTTATGATTTAGATTCAATTAATGGAGCCTTTTAAATCTTTTGCTTTTTTTTTTTTTTTTTTTGAGGAATCTCACGGAAAGTAGGATACAGATAAGAGCCAAGAGGATAAGATTAGAACCATAATAATAGAAACTTCCAGATAAAATTAATACTACACGTGCTGCTTTTTTTTTTTTTTTTGTTTGTAAGAATATGTTAACCTCTAACACTGTGGAGGATAGCCAGTCAACCACAATTGCAGTTTTAGCTGCCGTGTAGAAATCTCTTTAAGGTTTGTTTTATTCTGCAAGTGACAAAATTCACATCCATAGATGACAAGTCCAAGCACCAACAAACCTACTTATGGGAAATTTAGTTTCAAAAGAGGAAGGTACCTTAATTAATTGCTTGAGACACTAAATCCAACGAGAAAGCTAAGTTTACTGACTACATCCACCACACATGAAAATGGCATACCAACCAGTAGGTTCAACATGATTTGATTGACCAGAATTTGAGAGCCAACGCAAGGTCTGAAATCTAAATACATTGTCATTTTCAGAGAGCTCTACCGAAAGACAGTTTGGAATGTAAATGCGGCCCCTTGCTCACTTTCTGCGATTGCTTATCTGCCAGACTCTTGGCAGATCAGCTTGTAATTTAGGGTTCATATAAATCGGGTAGATCGGATACCAGATAATATCACATGGGGGGGGGCGGGGGGGCAGAGAGGACACAATTGTTACATGCATAAAGGGAAAAGAATGAGTGGCGCTGGAAGAACAAACTTCTCTTGAGGGGGGTCCTACCTCTATTTAAAACAAACCTCTAATACCCGCAGATGTTTGATACAGTTTGTTACATCAAACTTGCTAGATGAACTGCATACAATTCAACATATGACTCATATTATGTTGCTGCTACCTAACTTAGCTTGTAAAATCATTTGGTTGAGTAAAGAGCTCGAGATTGAATCTTACTTTTGATAAGATGAAAAATATAAGAAAAACAAAGGGCTATCACCTAATTGTGCAGTTATAGACCAAAAACTTCTATGATATACAGAAAAGAAAAAACAATAATGACTGCCACCTGTCACTTGTAGGACAATTAGACTGCCATATATTGGAGAGACAGCTTGCTTAACACTCTCCTTTGGTTGGCGACTTGTTAACTTCTCAAATCCTACATGTAGGGCTCAGTCTTTGTGCATGAGCCAGACAAAATGCTGGGAGCAACTTCTTATTTTGCCCTTTAAGTAAACCATGGAAAGAGATTTTTTAAAAAAAAAGCTACCATGGAAAGAGAAAATTTTGAATCCACCAAAAAGAAAAAAAAAAAAAGAGAAATCAAATAAGGATATGCTCTTGCAATTTCACTAATCTGCCCAAAGATCAGCAGCTTTCTATAGAATTGAGATCAAGTGTATTTTGCACCCACAAATTGCGTCTATAAGAAATATCAATCTTTGACTCTTTCACAAGTCAAACCTCACATTCCATCTACCCTTCACGTCAGCATTTAGAGTCCAGTTATTTTCTCTAACCTGGAAATATGGAATCTGAAATACCAAAAAAAAAAAAGATAACAGTGTAAATAAAGGAAACTGCAAATATTAAGAGAAGAAGCAGATTTACCACCATAATATTGGTTTTACTATAAAAAAACAGTTCACAAAAATGGCAAAGAGATTAAACAAATACGATAAGATTAAACAGCAAAGTCACCATGTAGTAATTTATATATAAGTTTTGAACAGACAAGATGAAGTAAACTCATTAATTTCCAAAAACATTTTCATTCTGCTTCTTAACCACACACATGCACAGACATATAGATGCTAAGACATTGAAACACAGAACACTGCTTAGGAGCCAGGCCCTTACATTTTGAAGGTAAAAGCTAGACCTCTATATTATGGTTAGACACTATTTCTTTAATGAAAATACATGTTCTGAATCCTAAATCTAAACTAATAGGTTTGTGAAGTCTAAAGTAAATAATTATATTACAAACGAAAAATACGGTTGAGAGGAAAATAAGAGATGAAAATCATCAGATCAACAGATACGAAGACAATATATAAATAAAAAATGGGAAGTTGTCATGGATAGCTAATACGAAGCAACCAGAAGCTCTCCATATCAGATTTTGAAAGTGAACAATCTCTAGATTCTCTTTCTTTTCAATAAAGTTCTTTTATCAGAAAAAAGTAACTAAAAAAATGCAATAACAATATAAAGATACCTTCTCAAAAACCTCATAGCCAATTTTAAGCCTAACGTCTTGATCTCTCTGGAAATTGAATATGCTCCAAGAAAACTCAGCAGCTCCTTTTGACGTCCTCTGTTATGGCGGCAGCATATGTTGAAGCACAAGTAGACTTATTATTTGGAATACTCATTGATATCAACCACCGGAAAAAAGAACTAAACGAGGCTTGGATTGCTTATTAAATGCTTATGAATAGCTTTAAATACTCGAGTTTTGTAATGTAACAAGCATGATGTTTATTAGATGATAAGAACTTTAAGAACCACAAAGGACAAAAAAGAACTTTTTCCTAACTTTTTATGAGCTGGCTTAAATTCTATTTCTAAAGATGTTCAGTTACCTATTTTGTATCATATCTTTTATTTTTTAACCAAAATACAGTAGGCACTTCTTGATATAATAGGTATCTTTACTCAAACATGTAAAATCTTATTTTCTGAATCAACGTTTAAGTGCTTAAGTAACTAAAAGTGTCTACTACTTTAAACATATTTTTTCAGCATCATCACACAACATTAACAAGTGAGCAATATATTTGCACCTCAAGAAAAAGGAACCAACCTCCTTGAATTCTTTGTCAACGTTACACTGCCCCTTGATATTGAAGGTCAACAGGCCATTGTTTGTCACAGGATATGCCATTTTTCCACGCACAGTATACCGGAGCTTGTCACGTTTATCATACTGCAATCCTACACCAAGGCTTGCTGACAACTATAAATGGTTGTCAGACATATAATATAGTTTTAAGAGAAAATTGAAGTTTGCATGAGGAACATACATCTGGATAATAGTGTCTTATCATTGCACAAAAGTAACTTGGTGCCCCAATCTTTGTGTCTAGCTCTCCATGAACCTGAGACAAACAAAAGTGCAAAGAAACTAAGGAAACCATTTCATGGTGACAATAATTCAGATTGCCGAGTTACTAGTCATTTGCAGATACTTCATGGTTTCAGTCATATGAATATTAATCTCAGATATCATACGCCAAAAAGATGAGCAGGTTAGATAAGCTTCATATTAAGCAAGAAACCTGCAACAGCATAGATTACAGGAATACTTTGCAAGAAACATGCTATTACTCCACAAAAATAATGTGGCGAGAGGGATAATAGTACCTAATTGATTTTAAAAACCACAACTGCCAATACAAAGCAAATAGAGCACCATATGAGAGCCTATTTGCAAGAACAAATGTTATTTGGAAGCCCATGAATTAAGCATTACATTAAACTTGTAAATTCCACCGTAAATCTAGGGATTTGTTTAAACAAAATGAACAATCAAATTTCATTTTATTTTTTTAAATAAAATGGAAAATAAATTCCTTAACTGAATTTTTTTTATGTTTGATATAAGGGATGAAGTTTTAAAATAAGAGTGCAAAAGACATTTCAACTTTTTATTTTTGTTTCTTCCCCCAAACTCTTAAGTTTCATTTCCAAATTTCACCAAATTTGATAATGAAATGCACATGTCTAATCCATATAAAATTCATTTCAAAATCCAAAATTTGGAAGAATCTGGAAATAAGTTCAATATTCTTTTATTGAATTTGTTGTTTGTATAGTGTAAGAAGAGGCTCTTAAGTTTTGAAACCCCAAGATAAATCCTAACGTCTTACAATATCATCAAGTTATCTGGCATTGAGCAAACAGAGTATGAAAATTACAAGCTTTCAACTTACCCGTCAAAAATCAGCACATGCTAACCAAAGTGTTTTTGATGAGACTCAAAGTATGTAATTTGAGAGTTAAATGAGTCAAAATCTCTGTCTTTGATACAAATGTCTTATCCAATCAATAGAAGTCCAAAAATTCTAGCTCATCAGTGAATTAATAATTGACTTAAGCAAACATCAGCAGCCAAGCCAGTTGCACCTAGCTACCAAAAATCGTGGACAGGAACGCAAAAGGAAATCAAAACACAGATTACTAAAACCCTTGAACATTGATAATTCAGTTCCAGCTAACCGATAATCAGCTAACATAAAAGTCCGAGACACAAAACTCATAAAGATAACTCATAAGCAGTTAAAAAGAATTCGAGCGAGAACGAAGATAAGATAAGCCAGCGCGCCAGCAGCCATGTAATAGAAAGATAAAATACAACTTCTGTGAAAGAAAAATAAAATTCTTCCAGAAAATTACATCAAAATTAAATTTAAGGCGAAGAAAAAAACAAGCAAATATGGAAAGCCTGTACCTGCAAGTGAGTTTTTGAATCAATGTGGAGCTTCTCCTTAGCATGGATTCTTAGAGCTCTGGAGTCTCTTCCATATCCATATCTTAGAGATGTTTCCATTGCTGTTCTCTGGAAAGTGGAAATGAAAATACAGAAATGGAGTACAGGGAGACCAAAATCCTAGCCGAGTTCACAGGAACCCTAACGGCACGTGACTTGTTATCACTACAACGTAAAACCTGGCGAGTTTCAGCTAATGATCACGAGAAAGAAGAAACTAGCACGTGCATTCTTACGTCCCAGCATCCACTCACAGATTGACACGTGTGCAGCCGGTCCGTCGTTAGTGGCCCACTGATATCCGGGCCCATAAGTGTTGGCTTCTTTTGAGCCGGCCGGTCTAAATGTAAGCCGTATGCGCAGTGCGCACTGGCGGGCTTTAGTTAGAACGCTGAACGTAACCGTTTTGAGATTGTGGAACTGGAGAAGTGAAGATTTAGAGTGAGAGTCGTCCTAGGTTTTGTGCAGAAGATGGGGCTCTCAAAGTTTGATGTGATATTGGTTTTTATGGTTGCCTTGCTCGCAACACCTGCACTCTCCGATCTGGTCCTCTCCAAGGTTGATCGTCGGGTATGTTTCTCAGCGTTTTCGATCTCCCCTCACTTTGATCTCCATTTCTCTCTCTCTCTCTCTCTCTCTCTCTCTGTTTTTTGGCATGTCCCTTTGTAGTCTTCTTAAAGGTTTGTAAAATTTTCTAATGCTTTCATCCTAATACTTCAAGGTTTTTCTCTTTTCTTTTTTAATGTAGATTCTTAAATGTTTGTAGAGATCTTAATCTGCTACTTGATCTGATATGCCATGGTAATTGTTTGGGAGCTTTGAGGTGGACAGTTGAACATCCCACGTTTAATTAGTAGAATAGTTTCTAAAAATTAGGTTGAGTAAGGTTTTTTCTTTTTCTGGTATCAGTTGATACAATAGTTACATATTCAGCCTTGATGAAATGGCACATCTATTTATAATTTAATACATAAATTGCATGTGATATCTAATAATTAAATGCCACCCCTCTGTGGTGAAGAAATATCCTTCTTCGTAGTTTTTAATTTGTAGATTGGCAGAAAAGTTAAAAACTTTTTTTCTAGGTTATTTGTACTTGGCTACTTGCACTCAATTGGTTTTCCTAGCTTCAGAAGCGAAATTGAAGCTCTGCTTTGTTGTTATTTAGCTTTTACTCTTGGTTCCCTGGTCATTGTGATTCCTTTTCCCCTGTTGTCTTTTTATATATTTGGTTGATCATTTTTCATCTTCTATCGCAGGTTGATTTAACTTCTCAGGTTGTACGCATCACTTCAACTCTTAAGGTATTAACTATTCCGCTTTATCTGTGGGCTCTATTTATTTGACTATTGTTGGATTTTGGTGGGGTTAAAGATATTTGGTTCTGAATCTTTTGTTTTTCAAAGGTCATCTTCTCTATTCTGAGGAGAATTTTGGTTACCTTGTTAATATTTTCTCCTATTTGTAATCTTTTCTTCTACATTTTTGGCGCTTCCTCAGAACTTTATCATTACATATTTACCTTGAAAAAGTTTGATCATTTGCATTCACCTTTTTAATTACACTCTAAAAATGAAAATGTAAATTGCCGAAATTTCACACTTCTTTTTCGACTTCACCTAATTTGCAATTCTTTTGTTTTATTGGAACACCATTTGAATTCTTGGAATCTTATTTGCATCTAACTTATTGGTTAAAACTATGCTAGATAATTAAGTGCCTTGCTAAATATGGTTTGTCTATCCTACTTTGCATAATAGGTGGAGAATGCTGGGTCTGATTCAGTTTCAGAGATTCTATTGGTCTTTCCAGAGCTCCAGATAAAACACTTGGCATATTTGACAGCTACGCGCAATGAAGGGAAGGGAAAAGGAAAAGGGTCTGCTGTTAGTCTTCCTATCAAAGCAGTTAACCCTAATGGAATGCCCCCGGCCTTGAGCTTTTATTCAATAACATTACCCTCAGCGTTAGGGAAGGGAGACAGCTTGATTTTGGAGGTCTTCGCCGTATTCACTCACTTATTGCAACCATTTCCTGAGAAAATCACTCAGGCTGATGTTCAGCTTGTTGTGTTCTCAGAAAGTGCATATTATCTCTCTCCTTATGCAGTTAATATCCAGTCTCTCAATGTTAAATTGCCTGATGGTAGAGTTGAATCTTACACAAAAGTGGAGAATATGAAGATGGATGGCTCAGAGATCAAATATGGTCCTTATGAGAACCTCCCTCCTTTCTCATACAGACCCATAGCTGTTCATTTTGAGAGCAATCAACCATTTTCTGTGGCTGAGGAGTTGTTGCGAGAAATAGAAGTTTCCCACTGGGGCAATGTGCAGGTCACAGAGCACTATAGAGTTGTCCACCGAGGTGCTCAAAGTAAGGGTGAATTTTCAAGGTTAGTTAGGCTTCTTCTTATTGGATTATCTGGATCTTGCCGCTCTGTGGTAATTGAAGTTTGGTTATGACTCTCTGCACAATGTCACAGGCTTGATTATCAGGCCAGGCCCAACATCCGAGGTGCACCATCCTTTAGACATCTTCATGCCAAATTACCACCCAGAGCTCATTCAATTTATTATAGGGATGAAATTGGCAATATATCAACATCGAAAGTATGGCATGATTCAAAAAAGGTGGGTATTGTGCTTTATCTGAAGCAACTCGTGAATTGGTATTTCAAATCTTGATCAATCTATACTCTTTGTTGCAGACAGAACTATTAATTGAGCCCAGATATCCAATGTTTGGTGGTTGGAGAACTTCTTTCACCATTGGATATGGCTTGCCACTTCAAGACTTTTTGTTTGCATCTGAAGGAAAGCGGTTTCTGAACATCTCTTTTGGCTGCCCTATGAGTGACCTGGTGATTGATAATCTCATTGTGAAGGTTGGTACATAACGACGTTATGCCAATTGAACGCTCTTTAGTTTTCAGCCTTTATTGGCTTCTTGATTTCTTGGAGATGAGACACAAGCTTCTTTTAAGAATTTAAGGCAGATGACATCAGCATTAATGGTGCAATTTGGGTGGATTCGCAAACAATTTCTTGTGACAGTTTTGCTATTTATTACTTCTACATACAATTCAAACAATGTCTTATATGTCCATCAATATGTTGTCAGCATAAGGGAATTAAGGCAGGGTTACAAAGTTCCTCATGCCACTAATTTCATTCAGTTTTTAGCCAGTGTATCTAGCATCACAGGCTTTATCTCGCTCCTACCTGTTTATGGATTTATCCTGATTTATGTTAATCAGGACATTAATCAGGGTGGGCATAGTGAGCTTTTGATAACCTGTAGTTAATTCATCTCTGGCTGTTCTTCACTCACAATACTGCTCTTGAAAAAAAAAAAAAGAAGCTCACAGTTACTGCTTTAATAAGGGTGTGCAGACCAGAGTTTTGAGTGTTTGCATCCCTTTACAGCTATGCCTTTTGTTGGACCAAGATGGACAAGTAGTTCAACACAATGGAGGTTGTGCCTTGGGTGCATCTACTGGTATCGGGTTATGTCATATTCAGAACTTCATGCTTTGATCAGTGGATATTTATCTCTCAAACTTCTTCTATCATGCATATAAGTGAAGCCACTCTTTATTTTTGTGAACCTTAACTCTGTCCTAGATTGAATAATGATTTGTTGTCAAGTATATGAAATCAAAGTAATTTATGGTTCTTTTGGTTGCAGGTAGTGTTGCCTGAAGGATCTGGAGATATCTCTGTTTCTACTCCATTTCCTGTTAAACAGAGTGAAGAGGTATTACATTTTTTCAAAGAGGGCTAAAATTTTAGTCATTTTTATCCTGTCTAGTTCGGTTCCATATTTATATTTTTATTACTTTGAATGCATATTTTCAATCTTAGGTAGGTTTGTTTTTTTTTTCCCTATGAAGAGCTCAAAATCTTGATGTTTCTAACTTTCATTTGTTATGCTCGTGGTCTACTAAAGACAAAGCTTTCCCACTTGGATATTGTTGGTAGACCAGTGATTGTGCTTGAAAAAACAAATGTTGTGGCAGAGCATAATCAGTATTTCCAGGTATTCTTTTCATATCTTGTAACTCAAATACATCTGTTGTGCTGTTCCTCAAGAAAAGAACAAAAATACATGTACAGAGCTGTAGCATCTCTGAAAATCATTGTTCCATACAGTTAAGCACTACCTAACAACACTATTTTGAAGGATATGAATTTGTCATGTCTGACTCTAGTACATCATAAAATCAGCACACCATTTGTTTCAACATCAATATTTTATTTGAATTTCATTTTGATAATTGTTATTGGTTGTGTTTCAGGTCTATTACAAGTTCAACAAACTCTCGATGCTTAGAGAGCCACTAATGTTGATTTCAGGATTTTTCTTTCTTTTCATTTCTTGCATTGCGTATACACATGCTGACTTGTCTATTTCCAAGTCTTCTGCTTCTTATTTGGCAAAACAGCAGTGGGATGAGGTACGTAGGAGGTCATCATCTTAAATCTTGGTTGCTTAATCTAAATTAATCATTTGCAGTTATACTTTGATTAATCTATTGAAGACTTTCCTTTCTGCAATTTCAGGTGCGGGCAGCCATTCAACAGGTCCAGAATATCATTAATAAATGCTTAGCAACACATGATAGGCTGGAAGCTTCACTGCGTGATCTTTCGAGGACAGGGGATGTTCAAGCTTGTAAAGCAGCTCGCAAAGCAGCTGATGGTTTGTTGAAAGAGTTTTCAAAAGAGTTGAAGCCCTTACTAACATTCTTGCACTCTTCTTCCTCTGCTTCCCAAATATATCCGAAGGTTCTGTTCCTATTCTTTTTAACTGATGCATACATTTTATCCTAATAGGGATTTATGACATGTAAGCCCAATTGGGAAACATCACACTTTGACTGAAATGATTGTTAGATTTGTTTGAGAATTGATTTTATGTTGTACATTTTTGTGAATCAAGAATCAGATCATGGTTAACTTCACTGATACAAAGAAAGATATCTTTTGTTGCATTTGACTTGCATGCATGCTTTCTGGGGGTTTCTTTTATAGTTATTGGTTCTGGGCTCTTGATGCAGGTTGAAGAGCTGATTGCGAAGGAGAGGGAATTGCAAGAAAGACTTATGGGGAAACACTCAACGGTTGTGGATTGCTATGAGAAGAAATCTGGGGGACGAGAAATTGAGAATCGAGTTGTGCCTCTGCAGCAGAGAATCACAACTTTGAGGCAAGAGATTGATGATATTCTAGAATTTTTTGATGAGATATAAAGGAGTATGTGAACAACCTACCCTCAGATGAACTACCCATGTTCGAATTTTGCTGGTATTTAAGGAGTAGATAATAGCTAACAGTTCTAAGTACCTGTTAATTGGCCTTCTATATAACTGTTAGGCTTTGCATGTGGGAATTTCTATCTTTGCGGATTAATTGCTATTTGGGTCGTAGTGAAAAAAGAGGCATTATAGTACAATTGTGGGCTTGGGGTTGTGTGGTCGTTGGAACTTGGATGTGGCCTATAGGCAGTTAAGTTATACAAGGTGAAGCGGACTGATTTATAAACAAGTTATTATTTCTGTTGCTATTATCTTCCAAGCAATTTTTTGGTCAATTTTACTTCGTTTATTTCTTCATCAATTTAATTACTTATGTTATAATGCTCAGCCTCTTTAAAAGGATCAAAGTCATTCCTGATGCATACTCAGCCTCTGTAAAAGGAGACTGGGTAATTAGAGTAGTATTTGATTCAATTGCTGACCAAGAAGGGTTCTTATGGTGTCTACCTCATCTCTTGCATTCTAGGGTTGTTGTCAGCCATCCTTGGGTCCATTGCTTCATATGTCTCCACCATGGATTCCTGGAAGCACTGTTTAATGTCTTCAAACAGTGTCTTCTAGCTGAGACACCCCCTGAGACTTCATTATGGCGGCTTTGCCTTTTCTTTTCCTTAGTCTAGTAGTTTATTAATAGGTGCCTGAGATTTGTTTTGCTTTTATACCACGTTGTCAAGTTCTTAGTTTATTAAGGTTTAGCCATGAGTTGAAAGAAAGATTGAGAATAAGAAAAAGAGAGAATAAGATGCAGAAGGAAGAATATAGAAGACTGAATTCTTGATCTTTTTTCATTCAAACTTTCTGGTCCTTCCATATGGTACAAATAGTTGTCATCATGGGTGGCCAAAGATATCCTCAGAATATTTCTAATAACAAAATAATAGAAAACGGTAACCTGAGCTCAAATAACTCTGTTTCTATCTCCGAAACTCGAATAACTCTTAGTCCTTTCTCCTAACTATGTTATTCCTGACAATTTTATCTATCAAAGTGTAAAATCTTGAATTCAGTTTTACAAAAATTCAAAAGTCACTCTAAACATACTCACAAAAGGAAATTTGGTTTCGAAGTTCCATACATCATATGAGGTGGCAAAGACCTCGTATTATCATATGGCTAATGCAATAAACATGTTGGTTCAAGCAACCATTAGTTCATCTCCAATTAACAATTTTTTGAGGCAAGCAAAATGTTCACATTATTATGATGACCAGCTATGGAAAAATGGCATGTTCATTCTTAAAACAACTCAAAGCTATTCCTTCCTTTAGAAATAGACATGACTAATTTACAAACAGTGGTTGTGTTTCAATTCTTGACTTGATTGAAGCACTGTAAAATGAATCCTATTACCATGGAATAGAATATTTTCCAAAAGATACAAGAACATTTAAGCCAAAAAATAACGATAATAATAATAATTTTCGGCCGAGTGTCTCAATCCACATGCTTAGCCTACTTTCCTTCAGGTGGCGTAACTTGTAAAAGCTCAATGTTCAACTCAATCATAGCTCCTGGCTGCAAAATAAACTTGTTTTTATCAACTTTTTTTCCGCATAATATCTTATCCGGATGTTGATAAATTGCTTAATGAAAATATAGATTACTGAAATGTTATCGAGTAATATAGAACTAGGCCATTTGAAAGTACCTAGAATTTCTTAAATTGCTAAATATGACTGGACTCAGAAGATTATTACTTTGCCGTCAGTTTAGTTTCATTCAATTCCTAATTGCGATTCTCCTATTAGTTTTTACTTCTCTGATTAGAATATAATTTGTGGTCCTTGAGTTACCATCATCTCAGCTTAAATTTCTTGAAGGTGGAAAACAAACAATTAAATTCTTACCATCGAAAATTCGAAGTGGAAGTACAGTAATTTAACCATAGCAAATTATGTTCTAATTATGTTCAAGTGGGATCTCTAGTGAAAAAACTTTCATTCAGAAAAAATTGTTACCATATAACAATGAGATAAAGGCTTTACCGGTATCTCATTCATTCCCTTCTTACCATAGCCAGCCTCTGGAGGAACAATAACAGTTCTCTGCAATGAGGTAAGGTAAATGATGAAGAAGGAGCTTACAAGACAAATACAGGAGGGGAAAAAAGATAGATAGGCTTGGCAAAGGAGATGGATTGAAGAAAACAAAATGCATATATATACACACACACACACATATATAAGAGCAGAATAAAGAAAACAAAGGCAATGAGTGTTGGTGTTACCTTCCCACCTACTTTCATTCCTTCAGTGATTGAGTACATAGCTGGAGGAGGTTTAGGTGCTGCCTGCGCAGAAAACAGACCATTTGGGTTATCTACAAATTCGCGTTTCCGTTCTTTGCCTGGAGTGGCTCCAACCTTGAATTCATATGGCTGAAAATAACATCAGTAAAACAAACATTACTTACCTCATACCACTTGACTTGATAGTTTTTAACTCTAAAATTATTCACATCACAGATGTTCATGTAGTCCAATCTCATCTACCACCATGTTAAACTCGAAATATGATGAGTATGTAAGTCATTACAGATTCTGTTTCAAATGTAAATAGGATTTCTTATTAAGTTTTTTAATACATGACAACTATAGTATATGAACTGTGAGGTAAATTGGCAAACATAGAGGTGTAAATTCAGATGGAATAGAATATAACCTGGGCAATAATACGATTTCCAGCCAAAAGTTTTGATTCTCTACTTGAAACAGCTGTGATGCCACGGTACAAGCAATCAAAATGCACCTGAATGCAAAAACCAACAGAGCCTGGAAATCTCAACTCCAGAACATCAGACCATTCACACATTCAGTAGCAAAAGAAAAAGGAAAACCTGAACAGTAGATCCTTTTTCAGCTACTGGACCCTTTCCCTCCACTACATCATAGTACTTCAGTCCATCAGCTGTTGATTCAATATCACACACAAATTATTAATCTTTTGTTTTTTGGTTTGAAATCACCCACATCTCATTTTTCATTTCTTCTCTAAATATCTGCATCAAACAAGAACCCATTCATGACCGGTTCCAGAAATATATAAGTTGCCTTTCTCTTGGGAAAAAAACTAACAAACAACGAAACCCATTCCATCAAAATTTCAAATTCAAAACTTCTGAAAGAGAAATTTTCTATATTAAGTCAGCCAACAAAGTTAGTTCAAGTTATGCACAAAAAAAAAAGAAGGGAGAAGAAAAAGTAATAGAAGACATTACATGTGAGAGTGAAGAAAAAGAGAAAAGAGATGAGTAACTAACGGGTAGTGAGATAGTCTTCAAGAGGAATGGCCTTCTTGTTGCGTCTCTCTCTGGCGTCTGCCAACTGAGGCACTGAAACCAGAGCAATCGAGGGAAGCGAACAGAAAATAATCGCATCTCTCCGCGAAATGGGTATTGAAATAACAATTTGCTTCGTGGGCTGCGTCTGGTTTATGTGCTGGTAATGATTATGAAGAGACCATCTGTGTAAGCTCCTCATTGTAGCCATGGCGGACGTGTTGCTTACTTACTAATCGAGAAGAAGCTTGAGGTTGTCAAGAAATTCGGTATCCCCCATCCATTTTCATTCTGAATTTACCATTATACCCCCTTGTTAATTTTTTACCCTTTATATAGCGTTTTTTTAATTTAAATCAAAATTTTAAATATTAATTTTTGTTTGTTATTTTATTATGTATACAAATAACCTGACATATATCTATACATTTTGTACTCAATTAAAAGCATTATATAATACAATAAAATAAATGAAAAAAATAAATAAACTAATCAATACAAAATAAAGCAACAGAATTTTGATAAAAATAAAATAGAATGAAAACAAAATAAGTAAGAATAAATAAATTAATTAAAAGTTAGCATTTGATAAATTTGATGATACCCACTAAAATATCATGACACGAAATACAATCACTATACGGGATACGATAATATAAAACAAACGAACGAATGAAATATAACATGAGAGAATATGATATCCAACGACATAATATAAAATAAAATAATTATAAAATAATAATCAATTAATCTTGACGATAAAAAAATAAATTTTAATGCAATGTTATGTATTAAGTATCAATATTTGTTGAATTTAGTTCTCGAAAAACAGAGAAGAATTGGTAATATTTCGATGACTAACCTATAAAAAATCAAGATAATGTCACACTTTTAGATGTTTCTGCAGGATTTTGAGAATAAATATAGTGTGAATCAATATAAGATTACATGCAAAAATAGAGGTCGTCAATCAGTCTAAGGAAGTGTAAAGTATTGTACAACAAAAACTGTCAAAAATTTCAGTCGACTAAACAGGTTGATCATGTAACTACTGGAATGTGGCCTACAAGGTTCATAATTGTGAACCAGGTATATATGATTGAATATCTCTATACATCTTCCCTGTCAATGATTGCAGGGAGCCGCGACAAGCTTCAGAAGAGACCAAGACCACACCTGTAGAAACGAGCAGCCAAGAAAGAGATTTCTTGCGTTCGGTGCACCAATTGAACAGAACTCAAGGCCCAGTTAAGAGGTCGGGTTGACCACATTGCTGTTTGTTATCTCCATTATGCACACTCATGGTGATATTTGCCATCTGAATAGCAGCTGTTGTGTCTGCTTCAACATCATTCATTTCAGAGCTCTTGGCACGAAGCTTTGCATTGGTCAGTGGGGATGCCTCGGGAGAGCCAGTGGGGCTCCCACCCAATGTTCTGGTAGAAACATGCTCTGGCTTCATCTCGTTCTTTTTATGCTTTGCCTTTTTATGCCATTGCCTTAGGGCCCTGGAAGTTTGTTCATCAAATATTGACTGCTTCATGGTTGATCCCATCTGCAAATTCCCCATCAATATGTTGATTAAAACAAGATTTTATTGGTAAGGTTTACCTATAATTTTGCACTTAATTATGTTTTATGTATAAGATATCAATGAAAGCTGACAGCTTGACTAGGTTAAATTTATGATCCAAAGAAGTCCAGAACAAACTAATGTGAGCATCAACACGCATAGTGAACAGAAAGGAGTGTAAGGTCTACCTGTGTAACAAGAGCATAGAGTGGAAGAGTGATGTAGCTGCAAAGGAATTGGACTCCTACCCTGGCCAGTAGTTTCAATTGAGGTAATTGGAGAGATCCATGTAAAACAAATACAAAATCTAGTTAAATTCACAACGTATATACTGTAGCAGCAGCAAACTGTTATAATCGTGCATGAGTGCCCCATGGGCCAACTAATGGACATTAGATAATCTTTTAAGAATATTTATGTTTATGGTTTCTGACAGAAACAAGACTTATTGCTAAGGAGATCTTCAAAGCCATCAAATGATGTGTTAAGGAGAATAACTTACCCTAGAGTAACCCTTGCAATTATAAGATTGAAATTCTGGTGAAAACATGATCGTAATCCAAACTCATACTGCATAATGGGGAACCATCAGTGAGATTCAGTATGAAATATGCAAAACAGACATGAGGAACGGAGAGCAGCTTATTACCCATATCCAAAAGAAATATGTTATCTCAAATGCATTCTGCACAGTAGAGATATTTTTGTTAGTATATCTTGAGGAGTCGTAACATACTTATGCAGAATTTAATTATGTAATCAAGCATGCACATATGAATGCAGCAAGTGCATTAATATGTTAATTTCATCTATGGAAAAGAAAAAAAGTAAATGCATAAACATTACTTGTGATAAATCACTAAAAGAAGATTAATAATTAGTACCTGAAATAGTACAAAGTGGATGAGATGAAGGATTAACTGAGGGCGACCGAACCAAAAATGTCTGTCAGAAACTTGCACAAGAGGTATTCCTTGGATCACTGCGTGTCTCTCTTTGATTTCAAGTGCCATTTGTGTTATAATTGCTTGAAGCTTAGTTCCAACCGCTAAAATTACCTTCAACCAATGACATAGTTGATACTTTACAAATTAACCATAAACCATACTATCAGCTAGTTCTTCTAAGCCAAACAACTTACAACTGGGGGAATTATGGTGACTATGGTCATTGCATGCCATCCTGAAACAGATAATCTCAGTTTAATTTGTATCCCAGCATATGGAAAGTGACTAATATATGAATGAATGGGAGCAGAGGAAAAAGAAGTTTAACCATTAACATCCACAAGCAGAAAGATCATCACTGAGGCCCATAATATTGGACTGCCAGCAGCAATGAGAATCTCAAGTTAGAAGAACAGAGAGATACATGAGCATTTGGACAATGATTGGAATCACTATTTTTAGAACAAGCAACTATCTGAAGCTTAGTTACCTGATTCCCACAACTACTTTAAAGTCATCTTCTAATGATCTCTTGATGTATTTCTGAAAGTTGAACTTCGTTCCAGGTGCTAAATGAACCTGTCAGAATATAACAATTAATCCAACATTCATATCAGTACAGCAGGATGGTATAATTCTTGCATTATGAAACTCACGGTTATGAATCCATGTCGCATTGTCAAATAGTCAGCTCTACGAACAGACCTGAGAAATTGCCGAAAGAAGGATACCTGACAGGAATCAATCACTCATCAATCTGAAAGGTACCAATAAACCAATAATTTCTATGTCAATAACTACTTAACCATAAACATTCATTGCCTAAATACTAGCTGGTCTTGCGCACAGGGAAACCACTAGTCACAAAATTTTAATTTTCTATAGAGTTCTAGGATCACTTAACTATCTAGGGAGCATTAAATCTAGTTGAACTTCAAATTGGTACCCAGATTATGCCAGATTGGTTGACCTCTTTGCTTGCCCATTTTGGGGTAGATTTTTATTAAATGAAAATCCTCTTTTTCCAAAAAAAGAACCTAATTCGGTGGCTTTATTTTCTTATCCAGCTTTCTAAAATCAAAGTTACTGAACTCAAAGTTCTGCATCAAAGCTCCTAAAGATACATACCAGTAAAAGTGGCTGTAAAACAAAATTTGGAGGTAAGACTTATATTTAGACTCATACTTTAACAGTATTTCTGTATAACGTATACACAGGTTCTTATATTTCATGAAAATGGTTTCACAGACAAGCAAGAGATCGTATCACTTCCTAAAATGATAAAATTTGCTTTTACTACAGTCGTACATGAAAATATAAACAGGGAGCTCCATGATATCTTACCAAATAAAAGGAGACAGCTGTTCCCGTCCAGGCACTGGAGTGGTCTTTAACAAATGATGTCTCGTGAGTGAGCCTGAATCTCGTAGGATCTGATAATAGGTATAGACCCACATCAGATGCAAACACAAGTAAATAACATGTGGATGTATACAAGTAAATCTTTAAGTAGCAGAAGCTCTAAGAACAACTGGAAACTTCAAGGTAGAAACTCAAAGATAATGGGTTACTTTTATCATATATTTAAATGTACCATTCATTAGTTCATGTTCTTTTGCAACTTCACGTTCCCACTCCTTCCATCCACGAATCTGTGCATAAAAGATTTATAATTATCATAATTCCACTCAAGGGAGGAACAAGTGGCACACAGGAAAACCAGTACGTGAAATCACCATTACACACTGACCTTTAATCTTCCGAGCATCATTGTTAAAGCACTATATGCCACATGAAATACTGCTAAAAAAAATATGAAAATATGCAATTGATGTAATCCATGCACGGAGATAAGCGACACGTAGCCCTGTAACGAATTTGCAGTTGCATTAGTTTTAAGCAGGGAAGAATACATGATAAGGCTCCACTTAGTTCATAAAAATATCTTCTAGTTTTTATTTTCTAAATTCATGAGTTTGTCCATGAAAGGTTGTAAGCATTGCATATTTGTGAAATAACCAAAGTATAAAGAAAATAACTTTCTAAAAAACATTAGAACAACTTTTTAGAATTTTCTGATCCCAGCATTAATCTCACAATTGTTTTCTTTCTTACTAACAACCTTGTATGTTTTTAATATATATATATATATAAACTAAAAACTAGGAAGCGTTTTCATGTACTGAAGGGAGGATAAATTTTGCATAAAAAAATTGAGGTTTCATACATTCCTTCAACTTCTTCTGCATCCCTATGACCTATCTGTCCTTCTTTGTTGTGTTTATGAATCTCTCTTCTAGGCATCGTATTTAACCTCAGCCAAAAGGACGAGAAGGGTAATCTAGGTGTAATATTTCTTACCATCAAATTTGATATTCCATTCAAAAGCTTATTTTAAAAAAATATTCCATTCAAAAAGCTCCCGTTAACAAAATGAACTTACATATTTGCACCCTGCGCCAGCACTATCAGCAGCTAAAGATCTGCGCTCGTACCATAACAGCCTCCGTTCATGATCATGATGATCATCATCATGATCACCCTTGGCTGGATGACCCTTTGGCGGAGAACCATGGAGATGTCTTTGATGTGGAGGTTTGCATGGCAACATCGTGTTGGCCATATCTAGGGGAATGCATATTCTTGCTATGTAGTTTTGCCCAAATGACAGCAGAAGGGAAATGAAACCCAAAACCATAAGCTCTGGAAGAAGAGTGG